CATTACGCTAACTGCTGGTTCCCACCTGCAATTAACTTTTAGACTTTTTTCTGAAATATAGAATTGCAACCACTTAGTCCTTAGTTTAGTTCTGAATTTAGAGGATTGAAAACTAAAGAAAAACTTGTGTGTCATTGTTCTGTGTTTATTAATATGATTGAATTTGAAATCCAAGACTACTATGTTTTAATGTAAATGTAATTTTTCCCATATAGGAGAAGAGGCCTCGGAGTAAACTTCCTAGAGCACTGAGAGGTCTTATGGGTGAAGCCAACATTCGCTTTGCTCGAGGAGAACGTGAAGAGGCAATATTGATGTGCATGGAAATTATAAGACAAGGTGCTTTCTATGGGGACTTTATTAACTGTAATAGTTTAGTAGTCTGACAAAACAAATGGAGGAGCACCTCACTATATTATTTGGGAAATATATTTAGACACTTGGAGATGATTGTGATAACAGTACTTTTTTTTTTAGAATCATTTTATTCAACTTTATTTATTTATTTGTTTGTTTTAATTGACCAGATAGGGACAGAATGAGAGAGAGAGAGGGAAAGTGAGAAAGCAAGCTCTGGTCTGGGACTCGAACCATAGTTGGTCATGTGGGAGTACAGCACCCTTTAACTACCATCACACCTGCTGTGTGTTTCTTTATTGTCTTTTAAGAATTATTTAATTTTGTTCATTATTTTTTAAATTTGACTACCACAAAGCGACAGAGGTAGAATGCGCAAAAAGGAAAGCACAAAGTATAGGACTAGAACTGCAGTCGGTCATGTGGGAGTCCAGAACCCAAACCACCATGCCATCTGATGGCCCCAGCCTGGTGTGTTTCTCTATATAACCACTATGCCACTGGCTGGCCTCAGAAGTGACTTTTTTACTATGTACTTAAAATTATTATTTTGTTTCCTTGATGTTCTGCCAGATGATAGCCTGTAGAATGTCTTAGATAGCTATAATAGAGTGAGCTTTTAATTTATCTTTTTTTTTTTAACTATTTTATTTTTTATTTATTCATTGATTTTTAATTTGACCAGAGAGAGACAGAGGGTGAGAGTGAGAGAGAGAGGAAGTGAGAAAGCAAGCCACCAGGTCCAGGACTCAAACCCTGGTCGGCCATGTGGGAGTGTTCAGCGCCTTAACCACCATGCCACCTGCTGGTCCCATAATTTATCTTTTTAATATATTGATATTTCTCTTTAGTTAGACTAGGGTCCTTTTGGAAGTCTTATAATTTCCTGGATTAATTATTAGGGAACTTCTTTTTCTTTTTCAGTCCTTGAAAAACGGGATGAATTAAACTTTTTCCTTTAGGATATTTAACTTGATTTCCACTTTCTAGTGCTATTTGTTCCTTTTCTTTTTTTTAAAGAATTATTTAGCTTTATTTATTTTATTTGCTTGTTTATTTTAATTTGAAGAGAGAGAGAGAGAGAGCAAGCAAGCCACCAGGACTCGAACTGTGGTCGCCCCCCTGTGGGAGTCCAGCGCTCTTAACCACCACGCCACCTGCCAGCCCCATTTGTTCCTTTATTTCAGTTTATAATTATTTATTTTTGATAGTAATCTTTGTCTTTAATTCTTAGCCTTTACATTTTATTTTAGAAATAGAATTTTGAAGGGTAGATTAGCCATTCGCCTTGATAGCCTAGCTTCTGGGGCTATTTAGGTATTATCTGTTTATTTATCCCATTTTCGTTGGTGTAGAAGCTAGATCATGAAGATTCAGTCTGACTGATGTGGCCAATGCTCATTGGAATGAATTTTCTGTATTGAGCCATCTTTAGACTTAGCAAAGGGGGGTTTTCATGAAGAAGCTTTAATGAAAAGAATTTTTTTATAAAATTATGATTTGCTTAGAGAAAATAATGTTAAAATATAGGAAAATAAATACAATGTATTTTATTCTAAATTTTATTAAGTAGTTTGTGTGATTTTTCTAGAGTAATTTAAAGAGTTAAGGCATTGACAGAAAGACCCATGGTTTGAACCACTAGTTTGACATTAGCTGAAGCCTCTTCTCTCAGTCAGTGTAATTTATTTTTTAATTCATTATAGCTCCTCTGGCTCATGAGCCGTTCTCTACTCTTGCGATGATTTATGAGGACCAAGGTGACATGGAGAAATCATTGCAGTTTGAGTTGATTGCTGCACATTTAAATCCTAGTGACACAGAAGAGTGGGTGAGACTGGCAGAAATGTCTCTGGAACATGACAATATTAAGCAGGCTATTTTTTGCTATACAAAAGGTAATTAAAGTATTTTTCTTACTTTGATAAAATATTGCATGATAGTTTCTGATAGTTATATTTCTACTCTAGGTTAGGATACTGACTAAAATTTGTTTCCTAATTTATTATATTGGACGTAAATGCAGGCACTCCTCACTTAATGATGAGTTCAGTTTCTACACTTAGATCATTAAGTAAATTGGTCTGGAAGAGAGGAGCTTAAAAGTGGATGTCTTGTGTTGTGTGGTGATGTCATACCATTTATGTTTTTCTATAGTTACTATGTATTACCACATTAGAATAATATAATTCCATCTACACAAAAAAAACACGTGTCAGAAAGCTATAAGATATACCATAGCATAATAATGCAAATCTAGTGTAATCATTTTTATTTATTCTGAATACTGTTATGGGTATACAATAAAGTACAAATTTATAAATGAAATATGTAGTCTCATATGATTGTGGACACTTTGTGTAGTGAATATTAACCAACTATAAGAACGAAACAAAGACTGAGAAAGGGGATTTCTAAGATTCACACACTGAGAAAGGGGATTCCTCTGTGCTAGAGCACAGGTTGCCAGTCTGAGCAGTCATTAAAACAGGTAGGTTGTTACGTGAGGAGTGGCTGTATTTGGGGGGTTTCTGTTCTTCTGTTTATCAGCAACTTTTTTTAATATTGTGACTAATACCACATAGTAGTTAGTAGATAAACAGTACTTTCAATTTCCCACAGAGGTCAGTGTTGTTTTTAAGCTGTTCCTTAAGGGTTAACATTAGACTGTAGTGATCAAATGAAGATTAATATGGAAATTAATGAAGTTTCTGTCTGGTTTTAGATCAAACCTAGTTGAGAGTTCTTGTGAAGATAGATTTACTCTTCTTTGTTTCATTGGAGAAGTAAAGTATTGAATTTTCTTATATGTTGATGGGTCATACCCAGGTACCATGCACTTTTTGTGATAAGTATGTAATTTATATTTCTTTCTTTTCAGCTATTAAATATGAACCTACTAATATCCGTTTTTTGTGGGAGCGATCAAGCCTTTATGAACAGATGGGTGATCATAAAATGGCCATGGATGGTTATAGGCGTATTTTAAACCTTTTGTCTCCAACTGATGGAGAACGTTTTATGCAGTTGGCTAGAGATATAGCAAAGTAAGTTCGGGATGTAGTATATCTCAGTGCTCTTATTAATCATTTTGTAAATCAAAGCATATATTTGAAATAGAATATGCTTTTATTGAGGGAGTGGTTTTACCTTTGTATTTAATAATTAAGCCTAATTTTAGTACTTAGGATTTCTATTTTTGCTTAGAAAATGTTGATTAATGTTACATTTCACATGCCCAGAGCTTAAAAATGAGGTGTGTTTTGAAAGAATGATTAGGTTTCTCTTTTTTTTTTTTTTCAAATGAAGAGACATTTTTGCTATAGGGCGTGTGTGCTCGCCAGAAAGACAGAGAGAGAAAGAGAGACAAAAAGTGAGAAATCACCCCCCAGGGGCGATGGCCACGCTGCAATCCCTTCTCCATTCTCCTCTTGGGAACTTGGGCACATACGCACTGGCATGAGGTTTAAGCCACTGGGTCTAGGACTCGAACTGCAATAGACCTTATGGGAGTTCAGTAACATAACTATTATTCCCTCTGCTGGTCCCAGGTTTCTGTGTTTCTATAGCTTAGTTGAAATGGTGGATGTTTGCTTTTTTTTTTTTTTAAGATTAATTTCACATGTACGTAAAGTCCCCATCATGATGTATACTCTTACTCTCTGTATATATATTAAAATTTCATTTATTATCATTATTATTATTTTATTTATTATTTTTTGAGAGATTTTTGCCATAGGGTGCGTCACTCAATGGAGAGACAGAAAGTGAGAAATCACTCCCTGGGGGGGATGGCCACACCGCAATCCCTTTTTCTCCATTCTCTCCAGATTTGGGCATGCACACAGCTGTGCCCAGCATGAGTTTCAAACCTCTGGGTCTGGGACTCGAACTGCTTAGCCACATGGGAATCCATTGCCTTAACCTCTACGCCACTTGCTGGCCCTTTATTATTATTTTTTAATTTGCTGTAGGGAATGTGTTCTCACCAGAGACAGACAGAGAGAGAGTGAGAAAGCAAGCTGTCAGCTTCAGGGCTCAAACTGTAGGTTGGTCATGTGGTGGTAAGCTAGTGCCTTATCCACCACGCCACCTGTTGGCCCCAGTATGTGTCTTTCAAAGTCTGACTCACTTCACTCAGCTTTAAATCTTTTATATTCATCCACTTTGAATCCAACATTAGGATCTCATTGTTTCTTTTTTAAAATTTTTTATTTATTCACTCATTTAATTTGATCAGGGAGAGATACACAGAGAGAGAGAGAGGGAAAGTGATAAAGCAAGCCACCAGGTCCGGTACTCGAACCGCAGTCGGCCATGTGGGAGTGTCCAGCACCTCAACCACCACGCCACTTGCTGGTCCCAGGATCTCATTGTTTCTTATAGCTGAGTAATATTCCATAATATATATGTGCCACAGTTTTTCAACTCAGTCACTTTTGGACACTTACGTTGGTTCCATGTTGTAGTAGTTGTGATTAATGTTGCAGTAAACATGGATGTACAAGTATCTTTCTGATTGAGTGATTTCCTTTCCTTTGGGTAGGTACCAAGGACTGGGATTACTGGGTCGAGTAGTAATTCTATTTGTAGGCTTTTGAGGAACCTCCATACTGTTTTCCACAGAGGTTGTATTCATTTACATTCCCACCAACAATGTAAAAGAATTCCTTTTTCACCATAGCCTCGCCAGCACTTGTTATTTATTTATTTGATCCTAGCCACTCTAACTGGGGTAAAGTAGTATCTCACTCTGTGTAGTTTTCTTTCTTTCTTTTTTTTTTTTTAAAGAGGTTTTTTGTTTGTTTGTTTGCCTTTTAAGAGAGATTTTTGCTATAGGGTGTGTGTGTTTGCCAGAGAGATAGAAAGCGGGAAATCATTCCCAGGGGGATGGCCATGCTGCAGTCCCTTCTCTTCTCGGGATATTGGGCACGCATGCACACACCAACCAGTATGAGTTCTATGCTGCCGAGTCCGGGACTCGAACTGCGGTCAACTGTGTGGGAGTCCAGCTACATAACCATCACACCATCTCCTGGTCTCTTTTTTTAAGAGGTTTTTGCCATAGGGCACATGCGTTCACAGGAGAGAGACAGAGGCAATGAGAGGGAAAATAAGAAATCATCCTCTGGGAGAATGGCCGTAATACAATCCCTTCTCCATTTTCCTGGGGTTTTGGGCATGCATGTACATTGGCCCAGAGTGATTTTCAGGCTGCTGAGTCCAGGACTTGAACCATGTTAGACGTGAGAGTCTAGCATCTTACTCACTATGCTACCTGCTGGCCCCTTGACTGCTCTTTGGAGAATAGTTTTAACAGTGGTAAGGGCAAAGGCGGGGAGACCAGTTAAAAAATTACTGCAATAATAACAGAAGGTAAAATGGTAACTTGGACCAGGAGATGGTAAAGAGTTATTGGATTCTGGATGTATTTTGAAAGCTGAACTCTTTAACAGTTTCTCATATATTAGATTTGAAGTGTGTGTGTCTGCATATGTTTGTGAGTATGTGTATTCATACATGCGTGGATGTGTATTTGTGAGAAGAGGGAAGGGGGGGAAGTGATGGACAATGGAAGAGAGAGAGGGAAGAATTCTGAGGACTGAACCCTGGTACTTCAGTATTTAGAAATCAGCAAGAGGAAGAAAGAGCAGGGAGACTAAAAGGACATGGCCAGTAATGTAGGAGGAAGCTAAGAGAATGTAATTCTAGAATTTTACTGAATAAAGTACTTTAAGGAAGAGGGATGATTATCTGTGTGAAATTCTGCACATAACAAGAATTGACAGTGAGTTTTAGCAACATGGAGATCAGAAGTTTGGTAGAAAAGAGCAAGTCGATAGGATGTAAGTTAATGAGCTTGGAAGGAAAGGCTTTGCAGACAAAGTAGGGGGATGGGCAACTCTGTGTCAGTTTATAAGGGAGAAGAGAAATGGCTTATATGGGTAAGAACAATTTCTTTAGTTTATTTATTCATTCCATAATAGAGAAAGAGAAATAGGTACACCCAATAGGCCCTTCATATTGCCGTTCAGCCCTATCCTCACCAAAGCTCAGATCAGGAGTATGCCTGGCTTGCATAGGGAGGCCTCAGGACAGGTACCACAATCCTTCCCATGTGGGCCTAGCATCATAGCATTGCTCTGCTGCTGTACCAGTGGCTCACCTGAGAATTTTTTAAGTTGGGAATAATTACAGTGTATTTATACTTAAAATAATACAAAATTGAGAGCTGCATTGTAGATTCACAGGAGAAGGGACAGTTGCTTAAGCAATGTCCTTGAACAGATGATAGGGAATGAGATTGATCATTGGGTTAGCCTCATGTATATTGATCATTCTACTGTAGTAGAGGGAAATGCAGCAGATAAGGCCATGGTTACTAGTACATAGGTGGATGTGCTCGAAGTATGTGGGCTGATCCAGTCTGATCCAGTTCCCTTTTCTTGGTAAATAATATGTAAGCTGAGACTAGGAATGGGACCGTGTTAAGAGTTTTGATGAGAGGAGGGATGTGAAATAGTTGTTTGGGTTCTTACTACCCCACAAAATGGCAGCATTTGCATTACCTGGGAACTGGTCAGAAATGCAGGGTCTCAGCTCTGACCCAGCTTTACTGCATCGAATACATACCTCTTTGTAGAATCTCCAGTTGATCTGTATATACATTCAAGCCAGAGAAGTACTGAACTAGATAACTAGTAATATGGGGGGGGGTCTTAAAAGTTTGTGAAAAATGTGTATTGTGATAAAGCTATTCATGCTTTCATTTTTTTTGCACCCAAATAAACTGATTAATTTCATTTTTCCACAAACTTTTTAAAAGTGTCCTGTATTGTTCCTTGTACTACAGGCCCCCGAGAGGCTAGTGTTCATTAATTTAGAGTAAGATCAGTCGGGGTGGTTAGCTAGTTAGGTCATGGTAAAGATAGGGCATAGTTGGATTTAACCAAAGTTGGAGTTTTATCAGGTGATTTTGAAAAAGGAAGTGCAGAAGAGAATTGAGGATATATGCAAGGGAGTAATTATAATGTTGGATCAAGAAGAAGTAAAGTGAGGTGGG